GAGAGACAAGAGTTGGGACAGCCGTGGCAGTACCGCAGCTGTCTTCTGGAAGACCGAAGAGAAGGAGGCTGGATTTGAAAGCTAACAGGATGAGCTTTGGCTAGGATGCTTTCCGAGACTATGATGACTGGGGTCTTGAGGATCCCAGGCTTTTCAGGAAGGGCCTCTTTGGGACTTCCTTCCTTTGAGCTTCTGCAAGATGCAGCAGCTTGCCTGAGGTCAAAGGGACAGAGGCAGCCTCTTCCCATATGTACAGCCGATACTCTCTTTCTTCAGTTTCATCCCCTCTCTGATGGTCAGGAATAGTCAGGGACAGTCAGTATCTTCTTGCTCCCAAGTACAAAGCAAGAAGGAGAAGCTGTTTCAAGCCCCTTCCCGTTATGCATGCTCCATATGCATCACTCGGCGCTATGCAGACATCATCTCCCTTCCCATCAGAGCCTCCGTGTCAGGTGGAGAACACTGGGGTGATGGGGAAGTGAACCAATACTGCTGGGCAAAGGAGTGAGGAGACTGGTGGGAGGTAGCTCACAGTATAACAGGGGCCTTGGAGTCCAGCTCCTAAGAGCCCCTCCAGGGTTGAGGTCAGAAGCTACAGAGAAGCAAAGGGAATTTAGGCTTTGTCTAGTCTGAGAGTTTACGGACTAACTCACACGGGTGCTGCTCCAGTTCTGTCTCTTTATTGATCTTCTTCAATTCTAAATCTCTTGTTCCAATTGTTTGTGATTTCTTAGCTCTGTTTCTTTAGTTTCCATTCTGTAGTTCTAAATCTGTTTAGTTTTCTAACTTTCTGTCCCAATTCTAATTCCAATCCCCCAGCTTCTTGCCCATCTAGCTTAAATACACTTTTCTCAGGAGACTTGAAGAAATTACAAGAGTTACATCTCATTGGGTAAGCAATAGCACCGTTTACCATGGCAACACAAGGTTTCAAGGTTTCAGGAGTAAGACTCTGATCAGAGCCCGGTGGTGCAGTGTCAGTTAGATAAGCTTGAGACATAAGTCTTTTATCAGCTAGACTTGGCAAGCGAAGGGTTGGCATGATTTCTTAGGCTGCTTGTGTTAATAACCTTAATTAGACACTATCACTCTAGTTCACCATAAGTCTTCTGAAGGGCTTTGATCCAAACAAGGCCGAACATCTGCAATTTCACTCATGAATAAAATCTGTGAAAGTTCTGCCTTTAATCTATCCCAAGGACACTTCATTTGGCCAATTTTCCCTGTCAGTAAGCCAAGGATGGGGAACAGATCTCTAAGTGTCTAACAGTCGCATGGGACAATAGATCTAGTTACGAAGCATATTTTAATATGTTTCTACTCATCAAAAATTATACAGCTAAATGAGAAGTCATCTTTCTGACCATCCACAAATATGTGTGCCCATAAGATTGAGATGTAATCATGAGATTACATGTGCACATTATATGAACATGCATGATAATAGGGAGATATCATAGCTGTTATTGTACAAGTAAAATTACAGATGAAAGCAACCCGTTTTTCAGAGCCTGTGGCCCTGAGGACCCTGACTGACAGGGTTCTGCCATCAGAGAACCATTCTGATGGTGGGTTGGCATCTGAATTATCAATTGCTATAAGATGTAATTGTGTTATGGCCCGCAATAGCTCATGACAATAACTCCTGACAACAGTAGACAGCTATTATTGTCAAATATGGGCAAACAGATAGACATAGCACTGAGCATCGAGGTAGAAAGGAGAGGCCAACCCTCGGAGGGTATTTGTCTGCACACCCAAGAGGCTCTGGAGGCAGAGATGGTGGAGATTCTGGAGACCATTCTATTGAAGGACACATAGTCAGAAGGGGAGGGGACAGAGCCTTCAGGACAATACAGGAGAGAAGGAGTGGAAGGGGGAAAAGAGGTGGCAGTAGGGTACAGTTTAGAGCTTGGCTGGTACCCTGTAGTGTGGTATCTTGGAGAAGGGAAAGACTGAGCTCTGCTTGGTCATCTTAGGGTCAGCATAGAGCAGACTGATAAGAAGCCAGGAAGTGAGACCAGAGAATCAGTCTTGCAGAGATAGCTTCCAGACAGACACATACAAGACTACAAAGCAGAATTAGAAGTTTGTAAAAGGATTCTCCATGCAGACCCTTCTAAGTTTAATCATATCAGATGCTGCAGGAAGTGCTCGGCCATCCCATCAGGCCAGATTTGACACAGATGAGTAACTGTGGGTATTTTTGTGGTTCTTTGCAAAGGACCTCCTGCCTCTTCCCTTCCCTGTGTCTGATGAAATTATTGTTTCACTTGTTGGCTAAATTCTTGTTTGGGGAGGGAAGTCATTCCCTCTCAGTCAGAAGTGAAATTTAAAGGTGTCCTCATGACAAGAATAAGTGGAAGTTGTTCACATTGTAGTGTAAGTGATCAGAGAGCAAAGTTTGACAGAGGGTAAGGAACTTATAAAAGAGTGATAGAGTGAAGGCTATCTAGACCATAGAGAAGTGGTTATAAAATAAGGAGAATGTTCTGGCATAGACTTCAGAAGCTCATGACTTGCTGGAACATGTGCTGTTTTCTTTTCCTCTTTGACTTGGCCCGGATCCCATGCTGCCTTTTAGTCCTCTATTTTCCTCTCTCACAGAATCTCAGCGTCAAGCCACAGGGCCTCTGTATAAGTGTGATAAAGCAGAATTCTTATAGGTGTCTTGGGGATGGTTTAGGAACTGAACAGGGCTGGGTTGCCTAGAATGACTGCTGCACAAAATCGCCCCAAATCAAATTTGTCAAAGTCAATTAAAGCCGTCGCAATGATGGAAGTCATTTAAAGGGCACCCACTGTACTCAGTTGGTTAACCCTGTAAGGTTGACTGCCGTTTACAAAAACAAGCCTGAAGACGGAGGTTGGGCTGGGTTCCTTGCCTGTGATGAATGTCAGAGTTACTGTGGACCCAGTCTTACTCCACTGGAGCTTCCTACTGCCACTGAGGCACTTACTCTTGCTGAAAGAGAAGATGGCAGCAGATCTAACTCTGTGCATCTCGTGAGTGTGTGTGTGTGTGTGTGTGTGTGTGTGTGTGTGTGTGTGTGTACAGGTATATGAGTGTGCATGAGTGCATATGCAAATGTGTTCCCAGGCATGTGAAGTTCAGAAGACAGTCTTGGGTGTCTCCTCATGGGTAGTATCATCCACCTTGCTTTTGAGACAGGGTCTCCTGCTGGTATAGCATCCATCAAGTAGGCTAGGCTGACTGGCTAGCAAGCCCCAAGCCTCTGTGGGTCTTTGCCTCTCCAGAGCTGGGATTATAAGGTTGCATCAATGTGCTGGGCTTTTTAAACCTGGGCTCTGTGGATTCAGCTGAGGTCCTCTTGTTTGTAAGGCAAACACTTCACTGACTGAGAGCTAACTCCTCAAGCCCTGGTTTTGCAGACCTTAATCAACTTTATTTATAATGACAGAATTAGGCAATAGTCCAGATAAGAAGCCAGAGTTCTCCAACTACCAGTCATGGTGGTACCTACCTGTAATCTCAGCATTTGGGGGGTGGAGGCGGGAGAAATACAAATTCATGCCAGGCTGGGCTACACAGGGAGACTCTCTCAGAAAGCAAACAATACAATAAAATAAAATTCCACATGGACAGGTTTAATTCACAGTGACACCTGGTGACCTATAGATAATACAGGTGAGCTGGGGGCAGCCTGACTGGTTTGTGACCACCTGATCTGCCCATGGTTTGAACAGTTGGCTGTCTGTGATTGGCTATCACTCCCTCTGCTTTTTACACTGATGAGTTACAGTCTGTCTACATAACAAGTTGGGTTATGGTTCACTGAGTATGGAAAAACATTTAGACCAAGCTTAATTCACTCTAACACTTTGATTCCCCCATTCCTCACATTCCGATGTCTTTCTAGTTGAGGCTTGAGGAGAGTGGGCAGCCCTGGCTGGAGCCAGCTACTCAAAAGCACCAGGAACTCGCAGTTCCAAGAACAGTTTGTTCTGGGTTTCTCCTTCCCTTCCATGCTTTCCTCTTCCCTCTCTCCTCCTCCCCTCCCCTCCCTTACTTTGAGACAGAATCTGGCTATGTAGTTCAGGCTGCTCTGGAGCTCATGGCAGTCCCCCTGCCTTAGCCTCCCCAGTGCTGGGGTTACAGACACACCCTATCATACATACCTGCCTCTTTTTTTAGACAGAGTCTCGCTGGCCGGCCTAGAACTTTCTGTGTAGGCCAGGTTGACTGCAACTTCACAAAGATCCACCTGCTTCTGCCTCTACCTCCCTAGTGCTGGAACTAAAGGCTGTCTTTCTTTCCTTTTGTGGGCATAGGGTCTCGTGTAGCCTAGGCTGGACTTGAACTCCTCTGTAGCAGAGATGACCTTGAATTTCTAATCTTCCTACTTCTACCTCCCAGTAGTGCTTGGATTGCAGGTGTTTGCCACCATGTCCAGTTTATGTGGTGCTGGGGATGGAACCCTAAAACTTAGTGCATGCTAGGTAAATGCTCTACCCACTGAACTACAGCCCCAGGCCCTGGTTTCCATGTTTTCAGGAGCATGCACACATCAAGAAATGCAGGTGGCTGGGGGATAGACAGGGCAGGGAGGCAAAGACCCCATCCATCCAGAAGGGCTAAGAAAATGTAGAGGCATCTCCGAAGGGATGGCAGTTACTCCTGACTTCGAAGATCAGGACTTTGGTCCTTATGTTTGCAAGGTAACACACTTTCAGTGCCCTGATGGTTGAAAACATAAGTGGAGGAAACAGAAACAGTGAAAAGCCCAGGCTTTGGGATGGAGCCCTAACTGGTACCCAATTAGTGCAGAGCCTCACCTATGACCTGTGCCAAGTTACACAGCCACACCCTTAGGAGGCCTTATTGCTCACTGTAGGATCAGAATGTACACAGCACTGACTCCACAGGATTTCTGTGAAGCTCAAAGGAGACTCCATAGAAGAGTGAGAGGCCCCACCTGGGCCCTCAGCTTACCTCCCCACAATGGGTCCCTTCTATTTTACAGACTTCCTTCCTTCCAAATGGGCCCTTCCTTTTACCGAGTTCTCCTATGGGTTGGCTTCACTGCTCCAATCTTCTGCGTGTCCTTATCCAGTTCCAATCCCAGCAACAGAGAGTCCCCCCGGCCTCCCTCCATGAAGAGCAACCCAGCCTCAAAGGTGTCTCCCAGCAACACCATGTTTGCCTTCTCCCTGTACCGGAGATTGGTTCAGGAAAGCCCAGGTCAGAATGTCCTCTTTTCTCCTGTGAGTATCTCTACCTCCCTGGCCATGCTGTCCCTGGGGGCCCGCTCAGCCACCAAGACGCAGATCCTCCGCAGCCTTGGCTTCGACCTCATGGGCATGCCAGAGCCCACCATCCATCTGGGCTTCGAATACCTGGTCCACTCACTGAATGCATGCCACAAAGACCGGGACTTGCGGATGGGCAGTGTTCTCTTCATCAGGAAGGAGCTGCAGCTGCAGGCCAATTTTCTGGACCGGGTCAAGAAGCTTTATGGGACAAAAGTCTTTTCTGAAGACTTCTCAAACGCTGTCACTGCCCAGGCACGGATCAACAGCTATGTGGAGAAGGAGACCAAAGGGAAGGTGGTGGATGTAATCCAAGACCTTGACTCTCAGACCGCCATGGTCCTGGTGAACCATATCTTCTTTAAAGGTGAGGTTGAGTTTCTCTTTTCTTTTATTTCTCTTTTCTTCATTTACCTTTTCTTTTTTCCTTTCCTTTCCTTTCCATTTACTTGGGTGTTCATTTGTTTCTTGAGTCGGGGTCTTATGTATCCCAAGATGGCCTCCATCGTGCTGTGTAACTAAGGATGACCTTGAATGTCTGATTCTCCCGCCTTCACCTCCTTAGTTCTGGGATTATAGGTGTGTTCACCTCGCCCCATTTATGCAATGGGGACTGAACCCAGGGCTCTGTGTGTGCCACACAAATCTATTACCAACAGAGACGCAACCCTAGCCCTACATTTCTTTTCTTTCTGGTGTTGTGTAGTCAAGGAAACAAGTATGTAAAACAAGCCCTAGACGGTAGGGTGTGCCCGAGTTCTCATCAGCTTTGCAAGCAGCTGCCTGTACATCCTTGGCAGACTTCTGTTCTCTCTCCCAGCTGCCATTCATTAGCTGACATGGGACCTCATTCAGCGCTGTCTTAGCAGAAGCAAGGGGCTGTGCTAAAGACCTAGCTGACACCGAGCTCAGGAAAGAGGACCCCAAAATGTGCTCTGGAACTATTTGGGGGAAAAAGGGCTTGTATTTTGCCACCAGCACCTGCCTTACTACTCCCTATAAACTTTAGAGCAGTGTCACAAGGGTCCCTGACAGGCCGGTTTAAAAAGCCAACCCTACAGTGAGAACAGTTTCAAAGGTTCGGAAATGTGGACAAGCTGGTCTGTCACTCACAAGAGCTGTTGACAAAGACACCATCATGAATGGCACTGTTCCCAAGCTGTATGAGCATGGGCTTTCAAATCATCCAGCCCCGCCCCCGCCACCCCACCCCACCCCCTTGTTCCACAGTCCTAAGTGTGTTGCTGGAAAAGATCTGCCAAGGACTAAGTGCTCACTGTGTGCCTGTCTATGTTGCTTGGCTAGGCAATCACTAAGTACACACGGCCTCACAGGACCATGCCCAAAACTGAGTGCCTGCACTTCAGAAGTGTGTGGGCCACTGTGTCATGGTTCCGTCCCCCCATTTCCACCTCCCCACTGTGCTTCCTTCCCTCCCTCCATCTTTCTGTTTACCCAACCACCAACTCATCCATCTGACTTTTCTTCCATGCATCCATTTTTCTATTAACCAATCCAGTGTGCCCATTAATTTAGTTATCCATCCACACACTCACCAAACACAGAAAAGAGGGAAAGAGAACAGACCTGCTTTTTCTTCACTTATGAGTTATCTTCGTTTGCTATATATTACCCAGTTTGGTTTATTTCTAATGAGAGGTCATGCACACAGCATAAGACCTTTTTTTTTTTGGGGGGGGGGGGTTTCGAGACAGGGTTTCTCTGTGTAGCTTTGCGCCTTTCCTGGGACTCACTTGGTAGCCCAGGCTGGCCTCGAACTCACAGAGATCCGCCTGCCTCTGCCTCCCGAGTGCTGGGATTAAAGGCGTGCGCCACCACCGCCCGGCTCAGCATAAGACCTTTTAAAAATGTTCAAGTCAGTGTCTTTGGTTGCTGGCATCTTCACCAAGGCCGTGCTGGCTTGGGAGTAGGTGATTGTCACTCACATCTGTCTAGTTCTCTGCTGTTTACCAGGACACAATGTATTACGGAGTGCTGTTCTGATGTCCAATGAGCAGCAGCTTTGAAGACAGATATCAGTTACTTTCTGTAATTCCACAGAACGTTCTCCCCCTCAGAAGGAAGATCCCATCTCCCCCCAATAAGGGGGGTTGCTCCCCAACTCCTGCTCTTCCTCCCAGAGACCAGCAATCTACTTTATGTCTCTGCAACCTGCCTATTTCAGGCATTCTGAATGAAGCAAAGGAAGCAGTAGGATTCCCGGCCACGTGACCCCCAGGCGTCTGTTTCGTGTTTAACAGCACGCTCTCCTTTACTGAGGTCTGGTATTTGTTTGTATGGCTCTATTACTGTCTCAGTCCAACCTGAGAGGCTCCCAGAGCACAAGTAAAAGCCCATTTGTTTTGCTTCCTCCAACTACTGTGTGATCCTCATTTATTCTGATAAGAAGTCATCGGTGGATCTTATTGCGGCCACCTGAAGTGTGACAAGTCATTTGTGAAGCTCTTTTGCCTTCTGACTGATTATAACATGTCTGGGTTTGGAAATCGTTGACTGTGCTGCAAGGTTTTTGTTTTGCTTTTCAAACAGATTTGAGGAGCTTCTGGATACTACTCCTTCCCATAGCCACCCTCTCCCTTCTCTCTCTCTCCTCCTTTTAGGAGTCCCACAAGGTGTGTATTGCTGTGCTTGACGGTGTGTCCCAGGTCTGATGTGTTGTTCCTCTTCCCCATCTTTTTCCTCAGTGTTCCTCATATTATACATGTAACTGATACATTTTCTAGCTCACTGGCTATTGTCTTCCATTACCTCTAATCTGCTGTTGAGTCTCTGTAGTGACACTCTCATTTCTGTTACCATATTTCATAACTCCGGACTCTGTGTAATGACTTCAAATCATTTTTTTTATTGTAAGCAGATGCTTAATTAAATACACCTTCTTTTAACTCTTTGAGCATGTTCAAAATAGCTGCTTTGGCATGTGTGATTAATAAGAGCCATATCTGGGTTTCCTTAGGAACACTTTCATTAACTTTCCACACCCCCTAATGTTTGGGGCCTACTTTCTTGTTTCTTTTCATTTCCCTTTTTGTTTTTTTTTTATTTTATCATTTATTTTTAATTATGTGTATGCATATATGTGTCATGCGGTAACTATTTGTAGACAAGTGCAGTTGCCTACGTTGTCCAGAAGAGGGCGTGAGATCCCCTGGAAGTGGAGCTACAGGAGGTTGTAAACTGGGAGCTGAACTGGGTCCTCTGGAAGAGCAGTGAGTGCTCTTAGCCCCCTTGCATGTTTTCAGCCCAGCACTGTAAACAGTGTAAATCAGCTCTAGACATGCACTCCCCCTTCCGGAGGGTCCACCTTTGTTGCTGCTGTTCATTGGGGCAACTGTTTCCTGTTTCTTCCAAACGAATTCTTTACAATCACATATGCCTTCTAGGCTGGAAGATCTCCCAATCGTTGCAGAGGGTCACTGTCTGCATATTGCAGCCTGCCACCCACACTCAGTCTCAGGCAGTCTATAACTTTGACTCACCCTTCATTTTCTCTTGTGCAGCTCAAGGTCTGCGGGCAGTGAGAGCTCTGAAATGCCCAGACAGTTCCCAAGTCGCCAATAGCTTTACTCATATCTGGGGCCTCTGCATGTTTGAGATATGCTGGAAGTTTCCAAATCTCCTGTAAACACTTGATTCTTTAGATATTTATTTCTTCATTTCTCTGTTGTCTCATCTCTTTTTATTATTAAGAAATTTTCTATTCATTTTTACATACCAACCACAGGTACCCCTCTCCTCCCTCCTCCTGCCCCCTAACCTTCCCCCAAAACCCACCCCCTATTCCCACCTCCTTGTCTCTTATCCACCCTCCAGGCAGCCAGGAAGTGAGGAGCTTGCCTGCAATTGCATTTGAAACACACTCCCACACCTCTAGGGAGAAGACATTAGGCACTGAGTAAGCTCAGTCAGTTGTGTGACCCCACGCAGGTTGTCACATCATGGTAGTTCTTTGACACATTGATAGCCCCCCCCCACACACACACACTCTGTTCCTCTCTTCTGGTTGCACTAATCCAGTCTACAGTCCCTCTAGACTACTGCCGAGCTGTAGGAGGGCTAAAGGATGGCCTAGTGCCAGTAAAGGCATCACCAAGCTGGCCGTTCACATCAAGACTCAGTCATTTGTCTCGATGAACTCTCCTCGGATCACCACAGGGCTTTAATTCCCAGTTCTGAAAGACTGGGACCATGTTCAGGGAAGGGTGGACATGTAGAGGGACTTACTCGGTCATTTTTGTTGGTAGGGGCTTCCCCCTGGTTTCTCAGTTTGTCCTCTGAAGCTTTGTGGTTAGTGGATTATTTGTCACAGCTGTTAAGTGCTGCCCGAGGTGTCTCAGAGTTCCGCCTGCCACTGTCTTGGCAATTGTCCTTGGGGAAATGATATTTGCCTTGGCTGAACTCCAAGTCAGATTAAATACAGACAGATTTTATAAGTCATTCTTTCGGTATTGCAGGAGGCAGGTCAGATAAAAGAAATTCTTCAGGAATGAGCCTACGGCTGTTGTAGTTTTGAAATACGTTCTCTTTCTGTAGCCTGAGACAGCCCCTAACCCAGTGTTCCAGCCCCGGCCTCCCGAGTTCTGGATTACAGGTGTGAGCCACTATGCCGGACTCATGAAAGGGTCTTTAAAGTGGTCCAGCCCTGTCTTGATTTCGCTGCAAATGCTGGTTGTTATTTTTCAAGACTACACAGAACAGAGAATAGTCTAGTACTAGAGCATGTTAGAATTGTCACAGGTTTCACAACTTCTAGCAAGACACAGTTTATTTTCTTTCATATTTTGTTTCTCAGTTAGCTGTAAGGGTTTAAAGATTTTACAGGATTATAAATGAATTGATTCTGACCATTGTTGGCTCTCTCTGTCTCTCTGTCTCTGTCTCTCTCTGTGTGTGTCTGTGTGTGTGTGCGTGATATTTGGGGTGTATTTGTGTGTGTGGAAGTGTGTATGGAGTGTTATATGTATGTAGTATATGGTGTGTGTATGGGACAGCACATGTGCGGATAGGTGGGTGTGGTATGTGTGGTGTATTTGTGTGTGTGTTGCAAGCGTGGGTGGGGTATGTGAGGTATTGTGGTAGGTGTGTGGCATGTGGTATGTGTGTGCATTGTATGATATGTGGTATGTGTATGATATGTGATATATGTGTATGGTATGTATATGTGTATAGTATATGATGGTGTGTGTGCTATGTATATGTGGGGGGTTGTATGTGTAGTATGTGTGGTGCATGTGTTTGTACCTCTGTGTGTGTGCATGTGTGTGGAGTGTATGGTATGTGGTATGTATGTGTGGTGTGTTTTATGTATATATATGTAATGTATGTATATGTATGTTACATATGTATGTGGGTGTGTGTGTATGGTACAGTGTGTGTGTGTGTGTGTGTGTGTGTGTGTGTGTGTGTGTGTGTGTTGGTGATTAAACTCTGGGCCTGGTGATCTAGTTGTTGTTTTTATGGAGAAGTGAGTTTTCAGGGGTCCTCATCCCTCTGACTCGTCCACCCCTCCCCCACCCCCGTCTTCACCTGGCAGGCTGCAGGGACAAAAAGCCCTCTCTTCTCCTGCACTGATGTACTTCCTCCCTCTCTCCTTTCTCCATGCTAGCCAACTGGACACAGCCCTTCAGTGCTGCAAACACCATCAAGAGCTTCCCGTTCCTTCTGAGCAAGGGCACCACTGTGCACGTTCCCATGATGCAACAGACGGAGCTGTTTGCTTTTGGAGTGGACAGAGAGCTGGGCTGCACTGTGCTACAGCTGGACTACAGGGGAGATGCCGTGGCCTTCTTCATCCTCCCTGGCAAGGGCAAGATGTGGGAGCTGGAGAAGAGCCTGTCAGCCAGGAGGCTGAGAAAGTGGAGCCGCTCACTCCAGAAGAGGTACATGTTTGCTATGAGCTGTTCATCCAAGGACCGGCTGGTGGAGGGCGGGGAATGTGGTAGTGGCTATTCAGTAATAATAGTGTGCCAAGCCTCCACTGCCTGCCGGATGGTGAATTTAGAACTGTGGCCACACAGCGCCACATGAACTGCACCATCATCTGGTACACAAACAGTTTCATCATCCTCCCCTCTCCTCCCCTGCCCTCCCCTCCCCCTCCCCCCTTTCCCAGACAGAAGCAGGCTCCTTGACGGTAAATGTATTAGTTACTTCTCTGTTGCTGTGACAAAACACCATGACCAAAGGAAGAAACTATTTACTTTGACTTACAGTTCCAGAGGGACAAGAGTCCATCACGGCAGGGAGGCATGCCAGCAAGCCGCAGGCATGATGACAGGAAGCTGGGAGACAGTAACTTCAACTGCAAGCATGAAACAGAGAATGAATTGAGAGAGGGGCAAAGCTTTAAACCCGTGAAGCCCACCCCAGCGACTTCCTCCAGCAAGGCTGCCCTTCCCCATAACCTCCCCAAGCAGCTCTGCCAACCAGGGGCCAAGTGTTCCATGCTCAAGCCTGTGGGGAATGTTTCTCATTCAAATCACCACAGTGAATCACCCAAGGCTACAATGCACAGCTGTTCTGTCACTGTGGTATTATGCCCAAGCAGAGTTCACCCCCGAAGCCAAGGTGATATTAAGTTTTATGAAATTATATTTATGAAAGCAAGAAAGCAAACTAATCAAGGTTTCGGTGCTCATTTGCAAAGTGAGGGTCACAATGTCACTGAGTCACTGGAGTTAGAGGTTGCTGAAGCCATGTTACTATTTAGAAAGTGGTAGAGAACATCTGGGCGGTAGTAAGTGCCTAATGAACATCAGCTAACATCAATGTTGTTAGCTCTGCACGTACTGTAGAGAGAGGAAATTAATTATATGATACAAAAGATTATTGAATATTTATTTTTGGTCTCTTTGTGTGATTTCCCTGGCATCTTCATCCTCCTCAGGTGTTTGTCATCGAAGAGAAAAGAAAACTCCGAGAATAATAGGCATTTAAGTAAGATAAGGACAAATGTCCTGGGAAGACAGGCAAAGTGCCCAGGAGCTCATGAGCAGAGGGAGCTTGCTTTCTGCAGAGGAATGCTTCAAGGGGGCACTGATGACATCCAGCCACAAGCATGGACATGTGGTGATGGCCAGGGTCTGGGCTAGATGTTTCCAGACTCCTGGCCTCTTATTCAAATGGAATACAAGACTACATAGATTTCAAAATAGCAAGGAAACTTTCTTCAAAGCAAAGCCATAATACAGATCAGAAAGAAACAGGCTGGCAAGTTTGGTAGTGGGTCACACAACTGAGGCTACTCAAAGGCCTGATTGTTTGGGGCTTCCTTTTATGAGGTTCAAGAGGAGGAGGAGTTTGATTTTTAAGGGCATAGCAAGGGTGTTTCCCCATTTTGATTGATAGATTAGGTCAGATAGTCAATCATTTGTTTGCTGTTCATATCTCTTCGTATGCGCATCTCATTTTAATCACATGCATACCCAGCTACGCATAGATATGAGTTGCTAAATAGGGAACTCTCCCTAAGAGTTCACATAGTTTGCCTTATTAATATGCATCCCAAACCAGTCTAGACTAGATAGGTCCATTGCCCATAGTTCCTGATCGTGTTCTGGGACATGTTATCAAGGGGTTTTTAAGGAAAGTAAATTATTCCATTGATTAAGGCAGCAGTATGTTCAACTCTGTGCAGGTCAGAGGTCCTAGGTGGCCAATAGGTTGCTAGATACATTCTCTGGAGGGGATTGTCCCAGGTCAAGTGGTGTCCCGGTTCACTGAGCTTGGCTCAGGTGGGACACAAACACATAGAAACCAGAGCGGGCCAGCATTTCTGATGGAGGCAACACCACTGATAAAGATGGGAGCTGAAGAATCAAGGGGCACTTTCAGGATTTCTTCTCTTCTCTGCACCAGTGCTGGGTGGAGGAAGAAGACCCAGTATGGGGAAGACTGAAGGAAGGTAGACCAGAAGGAGCCAGAGAATGCAAATGCCCAGGTCAGCAGAAGAGGGAGTCATCTGTAGTCCTAGGTGTCAAGGGGGTTTGACAAATGAAGGCTGAGGTATCTCTCCAACAACTTGTGCTTTTATATCTGTGAGAAACTAAGCTTATACACATAGACAAAGCACTACAGTTAAGCTTAACCATCTCTAGAAACGAGAGAAATGTTGCTGAACGTACACAGGATAGTGGCTCATGGTAAATGCTCAATAAGTGGTGGTTTTTGCTCCAGGGTGAGGAAATATTGCAGGAGAAGATATCATGCCAAAGTCTAGGTTTGTGCTATCCAATATGGTAGCCACATACGGTCATTTATATTTGAATTAAGTAAAATAAAATAAAGTTAAGGCACAGTGAAATGGTTGGGGGGGGGGGGCGTTATAGGTTCCTGCTTCTAAGCCAGACAACCTGAGTTTGATCTCCAATATTCCAAAGTTAGAAGCAGAGAACTGACTCCCAAAAGTTGTTCTCTGACTTACACATACACACACACACACACACACACACACACACACACACACACACAATTTATTGCACATGTGACACCAAGCCCTATCAATCAATAAGTGTAAGCAAATAAATTAATTAAAGTAAGAGTTTAGCTCCTTGTTTGCTGTAGGCATGTGTCAGATTGATTGTTCAGTAGCCACATGTGGCCAGTGGCAACCATATTGGACAGGGTAGATGTAGGTATATTGCCAGGAAACAGGGAGGGTGTATGTATATTCCCAGCAACAGTACAACATTCTGGGGGAGGGGGGTTGTCTCTCTGGGAGATTAGCAGGGCACTCTTGTCTCAGGAAGTCCTGCTGGGCACGGCCAGGTGATGTGGCTGATAGGTGAGCCACCATCACTTCCTGATGTCACCACGGATCTCTACTGTGGTACCCGTGCTGAACCATCATCTCACCTCCAGTTCTTTCTTGATTATAGGGTCCTCATGTTTTATTCTGATCCCCAGAGAAGGGCTTGCTCAGCTGGGAGGCTCATAGACAGAGCAGCCTGGTAGTTTGGGACTGGGATGTGGGCGCTGCTTTAGCAGTCACCAATGTGCTGGAGCAAGCAAAGTCTCCAGAAATGCCACACGGAAACAGAGGTGGAGACATCATGACCCCATCTATTCCCTTTCTGTTCTGCATAGGTGGATCAAGGTGTTCATCCCCAAATTTTCCATTTCTGCTTCCTACAACCTGGAAACTATCCTCCCCAAAATGGGGATCCGCGACGCCTTTGACGCAAATGCTGACTTTTCCGGAATTACAAAGACACGCTTCCTGCAGGTTTCTAAAGTGAGTTAACAGAGATGTTTGTAAGAAAGTCCATGCTGGAAGAGACAGCTAACAAAGGACTCTCATCTTACTGAGAAGGTGACAGACTAGGGAGGCTGAAGTATTTGATGGCCATAGGAAAGGCCGAACTTCATGGCTGCCAGGCCTGGGCCATTATGGCCACCACAATCTGACTCACAAGTACCCATAATCCCTCTTCAAGCAAATAACCTTTGCTTCTTTGAAGAGCCAATGTGTTGCTAGTAAGCAACACTGTGGCCACATACCTGCCGTGTAAGAACAGTGAGCATCCAGGCTTGCTTCCTTCCCTGCCAAAAGCTGAACTCCCAAGCCCATGTAATAAAAGGCACTGTCCAGGTGCCTTTTGTACCTGTGGATGGGACGTTTGTCCTGAAGTGGGGGAGGAGTCTGGATCTAAAACTCCAGATTTGTTGTTCTCTTGTGAGGAATTGCTTGATTCAGTTGCCACATGATATAGCAATTGTTGCATCTGAAGACTCTTAGCCTGGCAGGTGACCCGTATACCCCCACACCCCACAGAAGGTCTCTTCATTCACTGTCTAGCCTCGATCCATAACCAAGTCCAGATCCATCAGGTTTTTGGTCCTTGGCTTAATACGTTAATTTGATAATAGACTGTGATGGTCAGATGTGCTTACGGGGACATTTTTGTCATTGACTGAAAGAGCCTCATGGGATATGATCAGCCCAGCAGAGCTTTACCCAAGGAGAACACTCATATGCACCTGGGAAAACAAATGCTTGTCCTCACAGGTGGTTCCCAGCCCATCCTGTTGCTTGACCATTGGTCTCAGGCTAAAACCTCCTCCCTAGAAGAGAAAGCACCATCAGTATTTGGTTTCACCAGACTCATGTCACAGCTTCTATGGGAGCCACTGACATCTGCCCCAACCCCCCTTTTTACAGGTTGCTCACAAGGCTGTGCTAGACGTCAGTGAAGAGGGGACAGAAGCCGCGGCTGCCACCACCACCAAGCTTATAGTCCGCTCAAGAGACACCCCTTCTTCGGTCATCTCCTTCAACGAGCCCTTCCTGATACTGCTTTTAGATAAAAGTACAGACTCCCTTCTCTTTCTAGGGAAAGTGGAAAATCCCACGAAGATGTAGGTGGGAAGTGAACTGTTGCCTGGTCTCACACTGGTGATGCACAAGAAATAAGGCATATATTAGGTGGTGCTTGCTGGGTGATACCAAGACTTGCTTCTTTGCTTGAGGCTCTCTTGACCCCGACAGGGGTACATTTGCCTCAGGGATGGCACTCTGGAGCCCAGGGATGGGCTCAATCAGCCCAGTGGCAACCAACAGAGCCTGGTCCCCCCAACAGTGGTCCCTCTCACTTGTTCTCCCACACAGCCTTTTCTGGGACAATGGCAGGGCAGGGGCGGGGGGGGGGGTGTCCATCCCTCCGAGCTCTCGGGAATGATGGCACACAGAGCTCTGTGTCCTGACTTTTATCGCTGGCTTCCAGCTCTGCATTCAATAAACCTGAGATGTGAACATAGTGACCACAGACCCCGCCCCACCCCCTTCACCAGGGTCCTATCTGAGAGTGAGGCAGGGCTCACCTCTGAGTGGCCGGGTTGTCAGTCTTGATGCTCTCATTAGTTCAGCCTATTGAGCTCTTCAAGGACAAGGTTCCTGACATGCTGGGTCTAGATGGGAGAGAGAGACATTCAATAGGGATGAAATGAAGCTGTGGATAAAGAGGTTGTGAAAAATTCAGGTAAGTGCCATGAAGATTGTACAGGACAGTCAGGAAACTCACAGGAGAGGCAAGAGAGTGTTATGGGGTTCTGCAGTGAGCCAGTACCAGAGGGACAGTGGGGAGGCCCTGTGGCTGGAGCATCATCCGTCAGAGATGCACAGGTAGACACTGGCACTCAGGTAAATGGAGAGAGGATTGCATAGGAACGCACACTTCCCAGGAAGACCACCTAAACCAGGGAAGGGATGGAAACAGCAAGCCCACAGGGTTTCTGGGGCAGGCACATAGCGAGTGTCAATGCAGTATGGGTTGTCAAGACCTCTCCAAATGCAGTCACCTTTTCGGTCCTGTGACACAGCCCTCAAGCACGCAACCTCTCCCTGGCTGTGGCTGTTTGTAGTGACAACAGTCGGGTGTATCCTGAAGGCCGCACTGAATGCCCTGGGACCAGTGAGCTGCCTTTGCCTCATTCCCCACGGTCCCTTCTGCCCCCACTGCCAGGTGTCCCATGTGGGCTCCTGGCCACTTCATTTCTCAGCACTGACGTGTCCCATACAGCCTCCAGCAAAGCTGGAGTTCCTTTTATGGAAGTACTTGTGCTCCACCACCCCACATGTGTCACACAGGGACCCCAGGCTGGCTTCCCCATGCTCTGTCACACAGAAAGAAACAGACCAGAAAGATTTAGGCTTAGGACTACCACCTGCTTTCAGAAGGAAGTCAGGTGGGGTGCCCTCTGCTGGACAGGAAGCAAAACGCAGGTAGCAAGGCTTGAATGTTGCATGGGCTGGCCCATGACTTCAAAATCATCATCTACAGAATGTCAAGAATGACTAACCCTGGCATGAGTGTTTCACCCAAGACAACTAACAATATTCTAAAGGCATATATAGTAATCGAGCCCAGGGTGACTAGATCATCAGAACAAACAGATTCCCAGTCCTGAACCCAGAGCACCAGGCACTAGCCTGCTCATACAATTCCAGAGGCATATATGTATGATGTTTTAGGCTGTGATGGATAGAATTGATTGTCAGCTAAACAAAGAGAAGCTTTCTGGGTGTGTTTTCGAGAGGGTTATGTAGATGTGATCCAGTGAGGTAGAAAGGCTTAATGTGAAGGGATGCCATTCTTTGGGCTAAGGTCTCTGACTAAATATAAAGAAGAAACCCAGACACAAGCATTTATTGCTCTCTTCTTCCTGGCTATGAATGCAATGTGACCCCCTGACTCTAGCTCCGGCCACTGAGACGTCTCTGAAATGTACCTCGAACCAAGAAGCAGAAGGAACCTTTGCTTTCTTAATCTGTTTTTGTCAGGCTGATTTCTGGCCACAGCAACAAGCCAAGCTCTGCATCTTACACACCAGGCATCTCCTCAACAGAACATCTTCCTTTCTCCATTTAACCATTCATTGCTCTCACTGGGTATTCTCCTTGGCTACGGTGTGCAGAATATGGGCTCTCCAGTGCTAATCAGCCTTCAGGGTGGATGGTTGAGCCAACTGCATGGCAACTACCTAAGCACCTTAGAATGTAAATAAACACAATGGCCACCCATTCCTGTCTGTGCAGGAATATTTAAAAAAGCATTGTAGACCATGTGGGCACCCTGCCCAGGGCACCAGGCTGTTGGAATTTCTAAGTGGATGTCCGTTCTTCACCACCTACTCAGTGAATCAGTCTGCAGGCATTTAACTGAACTGAGCACCTACTATGGGCAGAAGCAGCCCTGAGGCTGGGGTGTGCTGAAGAATCAATCACTCCCACATTGTGGAGTTTGCAGTGACGCAGAAGGAGGAGAGGAAGGCATTGGGAAGGTTAGCAAGTACAGTGATATGGCTTCAACTTGTGTCTCTGCCCTGCAGCGCACAGACATGGGTTAGAGCTGTTTCTGGGGTCTGACACTGGGGACCTCACATGCAACACAGGTACCCAGCATGCAGGCAAGAGGTAGAAGGGACCAAGCTCAGGATGGAGGACTACAGAGGGGGTTTCAGTTCAGGCTTTCTCAGGCAGAGTGGAAAGGCAGTCCTGCCCAGCCCAGCCCCTGACTGTGCATCCTTTGGGACTCTGTTGAATCTCCATGTGCTTCATCCGCCCTCTTAAGAATCCATGGTGCCCATGTCATTGGGTTGTCAAATGAGCAAACACACTGTGAATCCTGAGGAAGACTCATCCCAGATAATCAGTTCCGAGTGAGCACTGCCCGCAAATACTGTTGCTCTTATCACAGCTAACATCCGGAAGATGAGAAGCAAAGATGTTTCTGTAAGCTGATTCCCCACCTGAGAGCTGTGGAGAAAGGCAGACATTTATGCAGAATGTCATCCTGGCTCCTGCCCACCACCCACCTCCCTGCTTCCCCATCCTCAGAGGCATCCATGATACCCGACACCTGGCCTCCTCCATCCTACCTGGAGCTCAGAATTGGCTGCCGAAGAGGGTGCCCTTCTGCTCGGTGGTGCATGCTTGCTTTCCAGTGATAACACAGCCCCTCTCTGCAGCCCAAAGGAGCCCTTGCATAATGAGTTTGGGGGACAGTGATCATGTCATCTGCTTTGTGATGGCTGTGAAGAGTGGTGTGATAACATGGAGCAGGTGTGTGGCACGGGATCCAGTGTGTGGTACAGGCTCTGCTCAGCACAGGGATGGCCATTGTTGCTGTCCAAAGTCACAAGCCACTTGTTCAGAAGTTGCTTATAAGTCACATTGCCTTCCTCCTCTGTCACGGGTGACCATGCCATACTGACAGAGGCATAACTCTGGGAGAGAATGTGAGTTTCTATTGTAATAAATAAAGTTTGTTCTTAGACAATTTTGTACATGCATACACTGCACTCTGCTCTCAATCTCTCTCTCTCTCTCTCTCTCTCTCTCTCTCTCTCTCTCTCTCTCTCTCTCCCTCTCTCTCATCTTCTGTCACTTTCCTCTCATCCCAGCCAGCACACTTTCTTCCTTACAAGTATTTCCCCCAATATTCACTAGTTTTTCTTTTGTCTTATGTTCCACAGAGTTTAACTAAGGCTGTCTGTGTGAGCCTGAGTTTGGAACAAACTCACCACCACAGCCTGGCACACTCACCCGTGGGTACACAGCTGGATAACGTGCCACCCCCTCTTCCAGAACCCGTTAGTTACCAATAGGTCATCAATGTGAGAAAGTGAGGTTTTGTGTAGAAAACACATGTGTGTATTTGCAGAACACACATGTGCTTGCCCTGTGCCAACACAGCAGACACAAGCCCCAATCAGGTGTAGGTTATGTCCAGGAAGATCTCACAGACCAAGGGGAAATGAAGCACTTTGCAAGCCAGCACAAGAAATGTGGGGTGATAGATAGTGCTACAAGCATTCCCAGGGGAAGAATTAGCACAGCCCAGGCAGGTAGGGAGAGGGAGGCTGTTAGGGTGGCTTTCTGCAGGAGAGATCTGGGCTGAATCCAAAGAATGAAGAAAGAGTAGGGGCTGGTGTCAGCCTGGGAAGCAGAAGGGGCAGGGATGGCATTCTAGGCAGGGGACGGGGTGTGCACAAAAGAAAGCAGGGCTCCTTTGCTTATCATGATTGTTCTGATGGAGCAAGAGTTTCAGGGGTGGGAGGTGAGGTATGAGGTTGGCAGGTCGGTAACAGCATCACGAGCATCTGGGAGAAAGGGTCTCAATGGTGACTGTAGAGGGGGCATGGACATATTTCAGGATGGAGAACAGACAAGCACTGCCTGGACTAGCACGAGGAGGCAAGGAAGCAGCAGGTACCATAATAGAGAGATGAGGATTAGTGCAGCTGGGGCTCAGATCCAGTGCCCTAGAGAGAATGTGGGGCAGGCCCTAGAGACTGATCCTAGGTGAGGGAACATGAGCACATGGCCTCTCCTCTCTAGAGCTCAGGCCTGGACCCATCTCTTCCACACTGTCTTCTGCTCCCCACAGGACCCTGTGTGCAGCCACGGTGGGAAAGAAAAGAGCGCAGGTTTCCGTTCTCAAGGTCCCTGTTCAGTGAGGTGGTCAGGCCTGGTGCAAGCAAGCGCCTTCACCCGCTCAGCTGTTTGTGGGTTCTGTGTGGCAGGAATTTGAGAGTGCCTCCTGCTCTCTCCCTGAGAGAAGGACGCTGAGAAGCTATTCAAGATAAGGAGAGGGACAGACATTACCACTGTCTCCGAAGGATGCTCCAGGGAGAAGCTGCATCAGTCGGTGGATCAGGGAGTGTGTGGCAAAGGCAGACTCCCTCTTCCCACTGAGAATCAGGGGCAGTCTCCTGGGATAGTTCACACTTTAACAATGACCCTTGCTGATGAGATTTACTTGTAGAATAAATGAATTCTACTTTTTTTTGTTTGTTTGTTTTTGTTTTTCGAGACAGGGTTTCTCTGTGTAGCTTTGCGCCTTTCCTGGAACTCACTTGGTAACCCAGGCTGGCCTTGAACTCACAGAGATCTGCCTGCCTCTGCCTCCCGAGTGCTGGGATTAAAGGCGTGCGCCACCCACCGCCCGGCTTTACTTTTTAATGTGAAAATTTGATTCATTTTATTGAGATCAAGACACATGATCTGTAAGGAAGCTGGAGAATATAAAAGCTTACAAAGAGGCTTGAGGTTGATGCCGCTGAGTTGGTAAAGGGCTGCCCTGTAAGCATGAAGACATGGGTTAGATTCCCAGCACCCACATAAAATGCTGGGTGTGGTGATTTGTGCCTCTCACCGAGGACGCAGAGACAGGTGGAGCCCTGGTGCTCCTGGGGCAGCTGACGTAGTCCAATCAGTGAACCCCAGGGCCTAACGCGTAAGACCCTGTCTCACAAACCAAGGTGGATGGCTTCTGAGCAAAGGACATTACTTGAGCCTGAGCTGTTGCCTAGACATGGGCATATGCACATGGTATACCCATGCCCCCACCACACCCCCACTACCCTACATCCCACACCCCCACACTTACAAGAACATAAAAGTCACCTCTGCTCCATCTCTTAAACGAGAAAAAAAAAAAAAAACAGCATCCACTTCACAGGTCTTTCTATTGAAAATTTTGTAATCTTGTCTTTTAATTTTAGTAGAATTGTGTGTGTGTGTGTGTGTGTGTGTGTGTGTGTGTGTGTTCATGCATGGGTGTGTTTGTATGAGGTTAGGTCCTCTGAGAGTCCAGAGAAGGATGTCAGATCCCCTGGAGCTGGAGTTGAGGCAGTTGGGAGCCGCTTGAAGTGGGTGCTGGGAACCAAACTCAGAGGCAGCGTCTGTTCTCAACCGCCGAGCCACCGCTCCAGGTCTTTCAACATTTACCAAACTTCTCTCTAGCCCCTTCCAAGATCTATACAGATCATACTTATTTCAAGTGTCTGTAAAACAATGGGATGCTTTGGTGTGGAGACAAAGGCTTGGAGTGACTTCTGAGCAAGTCCCTGGGCCTCTTGCTTCCGTCTGCGCAGTAGGCATGGGCACACATTCCTCAGTCTCCCCACCCGGGCTGCTGGATCCTGCAAAGGCCCAGTGCACAGGCCAGCATCTCCCACACTCCCTGCCCCCATTGCCACCGTCACCAGTGTCACAACATCCTCGCACAGGATGGGGCTCCGAAGCACAGGTCACCCGCTTGTTTGTGGGACCAGCAGCCAGGACACACACATCGAAAAACAGGCCTTTCCCCATTTGTCCTATTTACCTTCCTGTCAGTTCCAGGAACTGACCTGACCAATATTGACCAGGCCGCTGTACTCTTCAAACACTGTTGCTCTGTGGGCAGGAGGCCGTGTGGGACCGTGGAGCTGCGCCCACCTGGGTGACTTCTCTGTGAGTACGCACTGTACCCCAAATGAAGATAGGCCTCTGTCTGCCTGTCTGTCTGTCTATCTATCTATCTATCTATCTATCTATCTATCTATCTATCTATCTATCTATCTATCTATCTACCATTTTTGGCCTCAGAGGCAGCAATGGGTAATGAGTCCCCTGGATGGCCCTGCTGAGTACTGCCTCTGAAGCTGGAGTCTCGGGTTTTCAGTCCCTTTCTCTGGAAAATTTAGCCCTCAAGAATCATGACGTGAGATAGCAAGCCAACAAGGAGACAGAGCTGGAAGCAAAAAACGGCGACTTTACTAAGAACTCAGTTATGGCAACAAGCCCATGCACAGAAGCCCAAGTTGGAGCCTTGCCAACTCTAAGCCTCAGTTTCCCCATATGCACAACTGGGTTAAGAGTCTTTGTGACTGGAGGGTCTCAGGAGCATTAATTTAAACAAAAGAGAGCAAACTGCCACAGTATTTGAGCAGGACCATGACTGTTGGCATTTCAGTAGCTTCCAGGTGTTTGAGTCTCAGCTGAGAAACAACAGTAATGCCTCCTTTTCCAGGCACTGAAGAAACCTGGGGTGCCACCCCCACACACACCCTCCCCACACACATGTAACAACAGTAATGCCTCCTCTTCCAGGCACTGAAGAAACCTGGGGTGCCACCTCCCACACACACCCTCCCCACACACATGTAACAACAGTGATGCCTCCTCTTCCAGGCACTGAAGAAACCTGGGGTGCCACCCCCCCACACACACCCTCCCCACACACATGTAACAACAGTGATGCCTCCTCTTCCAGGCACTGAAGAGACCTCGGATGCCGCCCCCACGCACACCCTCCCCACACATATGTAAACACCTCTGTCTGCAGACCAGTGATGCAATGTGCCCAGTGTACCCAGCACTTCAGCAAAAGTTCGAAATGGTTTATAATTCAGGAGCAGTGTTCTGAATTTTCTCTGAGAGTCTGCCTGGGAATGCAGTTAAGTGCATTTGATTCCAGCTGCACCCAGCCTTGGTATCCGTGGGAGACAATCTCCTGCAGTGTCTTTCCCCTGCACTGGTATTTTGCATGTCAGATTTCATAAATCATGAAAGGGGGGGCATTGCCATTTGAATTCTGCAAAAAAAAAAAAAAAAAAAAAAAAAAGGCCATGAACTACAGAGACAGTATCCCACAGTGAGTAACTGCAGAGCCCTAGTTCAAGCCCAGGCTATGGTAGGCCAGGCTATGGTAGGCCTGGCTATGGTTCAGTCTTCCTTGGGAATCACACACTTCTGAGAGTCACCTTGGGGTGCAGCAGGGTAGGGAAAGGTGCTGAGTCCAATGGCTCCCTCAGTTTCTGCCCTTACTTTATCAGGGACAGACCAACTCTTCAATTATTTTACATCTTCCAGTCTTTCTATCTAAGGAACATCCCAAGCACATAGACCTTCCCTTCATCTGTCCATGGAGCTGATGCTGGCAGGAGAATGACTTTAGGGTATGTCCACCGTGTGTTTCCACATAGCACTCACCTTCGGAGAGCAGATGGCTCTTGTGATTTGGCGGGGATTCTGAGCGCCAGGGGCAGTATCCCACCTGCAGTTCTAGGCTTTCCCACTCATCACTCAAGCAGTTGACACTGAGCCAAAGGCTGTCACATCCTTTGGGCAAATCCTACAGAAGGTGTTGATCACAATGCAGACGCTTTCAGGATTTGTCCTAGAGTCAAGGATCAGCTTGCAGCTACCGGCTGTGTGATTAATAAAGTGGAAGGGCTTGTTTGGAGGGACACGGGAGGATATCAGGGTCTAGAGGAATCCAGACTGGGGGTGGGGGTGGGGCGCTATGTCCTTGTAGGGCTGTGGGGGTGGGAGACACCTGCAAGGGAAAAGAAGGAAGTGGATGCAAAGCTGAGTGAGCCTAGCTTTGTCTACACAGCTGGCTCCCCCCTGCACTCAGGCCAAGGCTCTTCCAGCTCCTG